GCAGAGGAAGGAATAAGAAGATTCTGGGCACCAAGATTTAAGAAAGATGCAGGTAAATTAGAAAGGGTCCAGAGGAGGGCAACAAAAATGATCCGGGGTCACACTGGATCACACTGCCCTGTGAGGAGAGATTGAGAGAACTGGGCATGCTCAGCCTTGAGAAGAGAAACTGAGGGGGGACATGGTATCCCTCTATAAGGACCTCAAAGGCTGCCACAAAGAGGAAGGTCGAGATCTCTTTTCACCGATACCAGAGGGTAGAACATGGAATAATCAACTCAAATTGTGACAGCTCAGTGGGACCAGCTGCCTGGAGAGGTGGGGGGGGGGGGCTCTCCCACACTGGAGACATTCAAAAAAGAAACTGGACAGCCTTCTGAGAGGGACTAATGTAACGTGGGGCCCATTCCAACTCTACTATTCTATGCTTATATGAACCTTCCCCAACTCAACACCTTCCCAGGGCTAGACTACAGCTCCCATCATCTGCAGCCAGGAGAAACAGGCAAGAACAGCCCTTCTGTACCACTGCATCCTCCAGGTTGGTTAAGAATACAAGAGCCTTGCTGAATTGGACCAAGGGACCATCTCGCCCAGTATTCAGCTCTCACCGTGGCCAGCCCTCCGTCTGGGGCATGAGTGTGACAGCCCCTCCTGCCCATGTTCCCCAGCAACCGGCACACAGAGGCACACGGCCTCCAACACTGAACGTAGCTTGTAGTCATCAGAACTGGTTGCCATGTATTTCTACCCTGCCCAATAGTTGAAGGTCTCTGAGCAGCTTACAATTCATGAAATAGAATAAAAATGTAAATAACAGTAAAACATTGTAGTATTTCATTACAAAGCTGAACCAAATTTAATAGCTCAAATGGCTAGGGCAGCTGCCTCTGTCCAAGCAGTGCCAAGGCTGCTCTCTGAAGCCCTCAAATGCCTTGCCCAGAGGGCGGTCCAGGAGTTGGCCACCCCCTTGCCTGGCCGTCCCCATTCGTGGCCTTCGCCACCCCTTGTGGAAGCCGCTTCCAGGACGGAGCTGTGCAAACAAGCCCGTCCTTTGATCTGTTTCGTCAGCCAGCGTCATGGGCTGACCTTGCTGGGTCCAGGACTGCTGTCATCCGCGACGACGGCGTTGGCCACGCTGGCCGGGCATCGTGGGGAGCGCAGCCCGGCGTGTCCGGAGGGCGTGAGGCTGACCGGGGAGAGGACTGGGACAGGGCGGGGGAAGGACTCCTCCACACGGCGTACAGTGACCTGCGGAATTTGCTGCCATGGGAAGTGGCGACAGCCACCGATCTGGATGGCTTTAAAGGGGGACGGGACAGATTCATGGAGGAGGAGGAGGAGGGGGCAGCTCTCCGTGGCCACTAGCCTTGTGGCCAGGGGCTCCCTCCTTCCCCAGAGGAGGCCTGCCTGCACACACCAGCTGCTGAGGAGCCGGGAAGGAGGAGGCCTTGCACCCATCCTGCTGGAGGGAGCCTGCGGGCAGCTGCTTGGCCACCACGTGTGCAGAGTGCCGGACAAGAAGGACCTTGGGTCTGACCCCGCAGGGCTTTGCTAATGTTCTTAGGACAAAACCAGCTTCGCCTCAAGTGACATTTTCAGCAGCCCCATCAAACTGCACAGGCCTCCGCCTGGTGCCAACTTTGCTTTCTTTCAGACATCAGGCAATCTCCTTTTATAAGCTAAGGTTGACTGCTGTTGTCACTGCAGGCTCATCTACAAGGCCTTTATTACACACCTATGTGTTTTTCACCTTGTAATTAGCCTTCCCCACCAACTGTGATGAAGAGCAGTATAGAAACAAAACAAAGGTACAACCTTGGGTAAATTCTGACAGAAAAAAGCATCCGGCCAGGGCATGCTGGGAGCTGAAGGATATTTAAGCTTGCCCAAGGCTACGCTTCATAGCAATTAATGGTGCTAGGTAGAGTTGCATTTGGTTAAAACTGATCGTTTCTGTTGCTTTTATTTGGCTTTGTCCATGCATTTTCTTACATTTCTGGAAGTGCATTTGTATTTTTATTGTAAGCTGCCCTAAAGTGAAAAGTTAGGTACAAATGTCTCCGTCTCTGTCACTCTTCCTAACACACACACACACACACACACGTACGTCTTACTTTATATATTCCATCCACAGGTGCTTGAACAGTCACATCAATCAACCCTAACAGAAGGAATGCTGCATCAGATAAAAAGGAATTTCTGCAATTACCACATGTGATGCAGAACAGATCAGATCAGCAAAGCCGGAATCTATTGTGCACCTGGATCAGAGGCCTGTTTCTTCAGAGTGCAGTCTGTGCTCTGCTGAGACAGCTCCAGCTGTCAAGCGGGTGATCCAGTTGTGAATTATTATTATTAACTGTGCTCTGGACAGTTTTGGATCAGTGCCCATTTCGATAATCCGCTTTGAAACGTTGTGCAACCTCCGTTCTTTCAAAGAGTGGTTGGGCCAGGACTGAAGGGCCAAACCTATCTTACTAAAGGAGCTTGTTAGCTTTTCTGACGGATGTTTTAATGTAGAAAGCAAAAGAAAATAGAAACAACTAAGAGATTTGAGACAACATGGCAAGAGGGGCACATAATAATGAACTGTGTGGAGCGGGTGGAACAAGGAACAGCTTCTCTCATACCAGCAAAAACAGGAAACCACCCAAAGGACCTGATTGGCAGCATGCCAGACAAACCGGAGGAGCTTTTGCATGCTATGAAAAGTGAATTTGCAAGATGCATTTCTACAGGAGGAGCTTTAGGGGAAGAGACTGGAACTTGGTTGAAACAGATGAGCGGCTGCAGCGTATCAGGCATTGTTCTAGCAGTTGGTAAAATTTCTAGAGAACTGATCCTATGGCTCCTAAACAGCATCTAGGGGGCTGTGAAGGCCCAGATCTGAGGCTGGAATCAGAACTGTGACCTCACAGCTGGGGATATGGGCTGCAATCCCCCCTCCCATCCCAACAGCTGGTGCGGGGAGAATCCAACACTGGGAACTTAGCTTCATAGAGGTATTAAGGGAGGTGTTCCAGGATATGGGGAAAGGCCAGGGTATAATGTATCCTGTGTTCTCCTTCCAAAAAGAGAGAGGCCACAGAGAAAGCTTTGTTGGATCAACACACTGAAAGTTCAGAGGTGTACAATCACCTTGATGGGACTGAGGCCAAAGCGTATCCACAATTTCTACTACATTGGTGTCTCCCTACAACACACCTGAATGCAACCCATGCAAAGGACCCAACGCACTATCATTGCGTTTAATGTTTACAAGGAACCCAATGAAGGTGTCCTATAATACAATATAAAACACATTATGTGTGCTGTATTTTTTCCTTCTAATATTTCAGGTCAATTATCTGGGTTGTATGGAACAGTTAACACGGAATACTTGGTCGTTCACTAAATGCAGGTTAAAACGAATACACTAAATTATATCACTATCTTTTTCAATGCAAATCACCTAATGCAAATTAGCCTGATTCCAAATTTTCTGGCGAGAGATGGCCAATAGCTGAGGCCAATAGCAATCCTTGCACAGAACCCCCCCCCCCCCCCAGGAATCCCAGATTTTCCCAGCCAGCCAGGCCACCAGTCTTGGGCTGCACTGCACCCAAGGATTCCCATAGCATCTTTGCCAGCGTACTTTGACCCTAATGATTCTTCATAACCCTTGCAGGTACTGATTTTTCTTCAGGATGGTTTTTTTACATGGGGGCAGCACAGGCCAAAATGCCTTCTTGGTGATCTCCATTCAGCTTGAAGGGTCACACCTTCTGGAAGGCCGAAAACGGGGGTGCAGCACCTCAGGTTCAGGACTAAACCCAGCCCACTCAGGACTCTGTGGATGGCCACTCGCCCCTCTTCCCCCGTCACAGGCGGCGGTTTCTTGACTCTTGTGCGCATGCTTCTCCCCACAGCCTCACCAGTTAAAGGGCCTCTCTTAAGACTTAAAATTATCGACAGAAAGAGTTTTAAGCTAAAATAGGCTGTTTTTTTGAGCCTACAACTTTCACCTTTGTGGCTTTTGGTTGTGCCTAAGGTGCGTTCTGAGAGTTTCTCCAAAACTGAGGGTTGAGAACTTTGAAAACTTTGACCTGGCTACTGGAGAACAACAGTTTTTTCATTACAGCCTGAATTCATGGAACTTCTGCACAGACGCATTGCAAATATGTTGTCTTCTGCAAAGCCATTCCTGTTTACTCTAACAATAAACTTTGTTTCCAGATGCCTCTCCTTAGGAACTTAAAGACGCAGAGGTACAGAGACAGACAGAAGGAAAGAGAAGTGATATTATTTAATCTCTCTAGAAGTAAATGGCTTATCCATGAACTTTTAAATTCAGTCTTCTTCATGCCAAATGCCCTCCAGATGCAGTGGGCTAAATCTCCGTTTATTTCCTGCCAGGACAGCCCAAGCTGGCCGTGACTCATGGACACTGCAGTCCAACACAGAATGATCTGGCAAAAGTGATTCATGTCCAACCCGTTTTTAATAAAATCAAGGCCAATGCATCGGGAGGCTCATGATTATAATTAGAAGGCAGAAGAGGCGCCGCTGGCTAAAAGTTATCTTCTAACACACATAACAACGGTATTCCTTTTCTTAGGCCAGGCAAAAAGATCTCAAACCGTACAAGCTTTCGAAATCTCTTGCCCTCTTCATCAAGGAAGATAAAATAAAAACTACTCTGTGGGGACAGAATACGAGAAGCAAGGAAGCAAGAATGTGACTTCAGCGTCAAGTGCGCCTTTTCCCTCTTCTCCTCCCGCCCGCATCTGGTCAGATGAAGAGACCTGGCGCTCTCGAAAGCGGGCACAATTTTGCGCGACCCTCCGGGCGGCTTGATGGAGCCATCGCGCCACGAAGCGCCCCGTCAGTGGGAGCTGCGCGGGACTCGCACCCGCGGGACCCGGACGCGCCCGCCCCCCTGCCTCGCCGCGCGGACGGGAAGCGCCGCCACGTCGCACCCGACCGGGGAGGGGGGCGAGGCCCCCCGCGGCCCTTACCGGGCTTCTTGCCGCGCCACTCCGCCCAGAGCAGCGTCAGGTCCGCGTCGGCGCGCAGCCAGCGCCGGATGAGCAGCGCCAGGACGACGAGCGCGCAGCACCATTCGAGGATGCACAGCACGCACGACATGGCGAGGCGGGAAGGCAGGGAGCGCCGCCGCCGCCGCCGCCCTTTATGGGCCGGGGCGGCCGCCCCCCGCCGCCCCGGGGAGGCGCTTGGCCGCCGCCCGCGGGCCGCCCCCGCCTGCCCTGCCCCTGCCGCTGCGCGCGGGATCGCCCGGGAGGGCGCGGAGC